CTTGCTCGCGTTGCCAACATCAGCAAGTGCAATAAACCTGGTGACGTGCTGTGGGGTCTCCTGTAGCACCATGTGATTCCTGTAAGGAAGCAAAACCTGGCTGTACTGCTATACTGAAAGAACAGTGGGAGAACCCCTCCCTGCCACAAAGGTACTCAGAGAGCACACCAATCCTCCTGTGTTCCTTAAAAACTGAACCCTTACTTGAAAATAAATGACATTTCACATGATTTTACAAACCTGTAAGGAAGTCTTTCATAATAGGCCTTCTCCAGGGCAGCAAAATGGTACCTTGGTTTGAGACTTGCAGCCAGATCTGATACTAAATTGGAGCCACACTTCTTGGTATCTATTTCTCCCTATGAAACACAAACCAAACTTTATTTAAACCTCTCAAAGAGCAGGGAAAAGAAAGGTTTAATATTCTTCTCTCTACACTTGAGTGAGTACATTCCCAGAAAATTCATGCCAGGGGAAGTCAAACATAGAATGACATGTTAAACAACTACAGGGAATGCCCACAGGAACTTCTGAGATTTGAGTTTTCTTTCTGGGCCAGAATATCCCAACAAATCATTCTCTACAAGCCCCAAGGGAAGCAGGGTTGGTTATCATACTGTGAGGGAAGTCTCCTCATGCATTTAAACTGAGGATTGTATCTCTTTTTTGATGTTGGAAGAAACTGAGAGGAAGCAAAAAATGCTCTTTTGCCACGTGTGTGGCTTTGCTGTCCAGACAGGCTTCAAATCATCTGAAAATCACTTCTGCTGAGGAACATTAACACAACAAAACTGGACATAAATGAAACAATGCCCCTAAAATTCTGATGGAGGAAGAACCAAACCACCTCACTGATACTTAAGGAAATAAACACCAAAACACTTAAAAAGTGGCAGGGACAGATGAAATGCCCCGAAGTCTCACAAATCCCCCTCCTTTCAGTCTTCTCTGAAGAACCAGAATATCTGCTCTCCCTGCTTTCACTCCCAGCTTTCTCAAGCACTTGGAGAGGGTGAACAGAACTCCCGCTTGGAGAGGAAGCAGAAAGGCAACGCTATGTGAAACCCCAGGAACAGAACACTCACCGCGCTGTTGGCAAAAGTCCCCACGTCTCTGGGCCAGGGGGATGTCAGCAGTATATCCACACCCCTGAAGTTTGGGGTGGAGAGCAGGGAGGCTTTCAGCTCGGCCACGTCCTTGGCGCTGAAGCAGTGGGCGGGCGCGGGCTGCTGCTGCGCCTCGGTGCCGCTCAGGTAGGCGATCTGCAGCCCCGAGCAGCCGCTGAACACGCCCCTGCGGCCTGCAGCGACACGACACAGCCCTGAGGGCGCCACAACCCCCTGGGCGGGGCAGCGGCAGTCCCGACCCGCTGCAGCATCCTCACAGGCAGCTCATCTGCCTGCATCGCTCGGGGACACAGATCAAACCCGAGCCTGCCCACAGCGGAGCTCTTCACACAAGCCCCAGCCTTCCCCCTCCTCCCTGCCATGTCGCTTCCCAAAAACTCATCCACAGCAATAACACATCCCAGCCAAGTGCCTCTACTTAGTTATTTTTTTGGCCTGGTGGGAATTCTGGAAAGAAATTGGTTTTTCCTTTTAGCTTAGCTACATTTTGCTTGTTACTTCTGTCACTGCAGTATAGCCACACAGCAAAATCATATTCAAACCTCCCTCTACAGAGACATGCATGCTCTGGAAATAAGATTCCCTCAAAAAATAGGCTCTTGCAACCCCTATTCCTTCTGGTTAGCAAGTTCAGTATCACAGAAATTAAAAAAAAAACAAATCAAGAAAGCAGGGTTTTCTTTCACATTTTACAAAACATCAAGTTCAACTTCAGTCCGAACCACAGGATAAAAAATGCCATTTATAACTCCCAGAAAAAGGAAGGTGTTGAAGTGGAAGAGAACACTCATGAGAGCCCCAGCAGGCACAGCCAGCTCCCTGAGCCCAAAGCCCCTGCAGCCTTACCCAGGTAAGTGATGTTCTCAGCCAACTCACAGCCGCTGACGTCTGGGAAGTAGCTCAGCGTGTCCGGGTTGTTAGCACCAAGCAAGTAGGTTGGGATTGGAGCTGAGGGAGAAAACCTCGTGCACTCAGTGAGCTTTAATTCCAGAGCACCCAGCCCACGCTGCCCAGGAATCACAGCAGGAAACCCCTCCCAGTCAGAGCCTCCACCACACACAACAGCACAAGAAACCTTCTGGCAGAGTGAGCCCCAGCCTGGAATTCCCATCACTGCAGGAGGGGAACAAGCTCTGCTCCACTCACATCACCCTCCCCTGCTTGTGTAAGATTAACTCCAAGGTGATGCATAGCCCTAAAGCCAGGGATGTTCCAAACAGACTTATCTTCCCCTCCTGTGTGGAGTTTCCCTGCTGGAGTGTGACTGCTGTAACACCACAGTGCCCAGCCCTGGCTCCTGAATTCCAAGGCAGGCTGTGAAGCAGTGCCAGCCCCGGGTGACACCACCCTCCTTCCTTACCTTTCTTGGTCCCCGTGCGGTACTCGGCCCATTCTGCCTCGGAAGTAGAGCCAAAGAAATTCCCGACACACAAAAGCATCTAAAAACACCAGATAAAGCAGGAGTTGCCATTTCTCCACAGACAGAACACACACACAAAGACTTTTGCTTGCACCACTTCAGCAGCAGTTGGTTTGCCAAAGTGAAGAGACTCCTCTGTGTTTATCTGTGTTAAACACAACATCAACGGGTTTAAAAGGACAGCCAGTTGCTCTCCCGCCTTCTGTGCACAGACCACGGCTCCTCACAGCTGAGGGGCTGCAAACCCCTTCTCACACCGAGCAGAGAGAGGAGGATCGCCGCCGCGGAGGGACGGGACAGCAACACCCACACGAGCAGCGCCGGCACAGGAACCCCACACCGGGCTGGCTCCGGCCTCGGCCGTGTCGGGACAGGAACCCCGCAGGAACGGCACCACGTCCGCCTCTCCCCACAAGCCCCACGAGCCTTACGTCGAAGCGGCCGCTCTTGGCCTGGATAGCGCGGACCCGCCCGAAGATCGCCTCCAGCCGCCCCTCCACGTCGCCACACGCCAGCCTGCAGGACACCGCGCGGTAAGAGCGGCCGACTGGCACGGCCCGGCCCCGGCCCCATCGCGACCTCATCCTGTGTCCCGCCCCGTTCTCATCCCATCCCACCCCAGTCCATCCCATCCCATCCCGTCCCGTCCCGTCCCGTCTCACTCACACGCGCAGCGGTGCCGCCGCCATCACGAAGATGCTCGTCCCGAACCTCTCTCCACTTCCGGGTGCACCGCTCAAAGCGCTCCGCCACTTCCGGGTGCGCCGCCCGTAGCGTTCCGCCGGTTGGTGCCCGAAGCCGGGCAAAAGCAGCTGGACTCAGCGGGCAGTTTAAATGGCCGTGTCCGCAGGGAATCGCGGATATTCCCAACGCATGCTGCCTTCAGTCCTGCTGTGTTAGTGCGCCAGGCAGTGCTGGCACTAAATATGGAAAACCCGTGAAGAAGTAAAAGAGGTGATCGGGTAAGAGAAGGGTCGTTGTCTCAGCAGTGCCCGAAATAATCACTGCAGCTGATTATTTACACCGATAAATTATTATACTGTCATTATATATGTTAATATACGTAAATACTGTATTTCGATATATATTTGTAATTATTACACCGCGTTGTACCAAAACAAGCACTTAATCAGGCTGTAAACACCAGCCAAGCTCTCCAGTATTTGACACCTTTTATAAAACTTTTTATTATAATGATGCCTTATAAATAAACAATATCTTACGAATAATTTTATAGGAGGTTTCTAAATTAAACGTTTATACATTTTATTAAGGTTTTGCACTGTTACCATCTGAATTCTGTAACCAGGAGCTGAAATCTGAGTTGGTGCTGTTGGTGTTTATTCCTTCTGTGGTATTGGGACTGAACAGTTCCACATTTCAACAACAGGCACGAGAAATGGAAAGTAGTAACTTTTATTTTCTGCATCTCACCTGGCCTGAATAAACCACAAAAGTAGCATGGAATGGTTTGAATGGGAAGGGGCCTTAAATCCCATCCAGTGCCACCCCTGCCATGGCAGGGACACCTTCCACTGTCCCAGGCTGCTCCAAGCCCTGTCTAACCTGGCCTTGGGCACTGCCAGGGATGCAGGGGCAGCCACAGCTGCTCTGGGCACCCTGTGCCAGGGCCTGCCCACTCCCAAAAGCCAGCAAAGCCGGCTGCTCACGGCGGGATGCGGGAAGCCGAGGCGGAGCCCTTTCCCTTGATTTTGCTGTCGGGGACTGGGCCGAAGCGCACGCGGCGGTCGCGGGCAGGAGGCCGCGCTCAGCGGCGGCTCCGGCGCAGAGGCAGCGAGGCCACCGCCCCGCGCCCGCCGCACTGCCGGCCCCATCCCCTCAACCCCAGCAGCTCATGGACGCTGCCCGAACAGCTCCCCGCCATCCCAAGCCCTCGAAGGGGCGGAAAGGCGGCGGCCGCCGCTCAGCCGCCACCGCCCCTCAGCGGGGCCGCAGCTCCGCCTCTCCCCAACATGGCCGGTCCCCCGCCTCCCCTCAGCGGCGCCGCCGCCGCACCGTCACCGCTCCCCCTCAGCCGCGTTCCCCTTCAGCCTTCCCCCAACACGGCGGCACCCCCGCCTGCCCTCTGCAGCGCCAGCGCCACCGCCGCATCGTCACTGCCTCCCGTCAGCGGCACCGCCCCTCAGCCTCCCCCCGTCATGGCGGCTCCTTCACCACCTCCCCTCAGCAGCGCCCCTCCTCAGCCTCCCCTCAGCAGGACCGCTCCCCCGCCTTCGCTCAGTATCAGCACCGCCCCTCAGCCTCCCCTCATCATGGCGGCCCC